CTCATGGCAGGGCGCACCTCCGGCTCCTCACGGGACGGTGTCTGCGGGAGCTGGCTCTCAGGGCGTCTGCCTGATGCACCCCTTGGCTATTTAGCTGCTCCTCTGCCTTAATTCATATCTCCCTTTCCCGAGAGTGCCCAATGCCAAGTGCCAATCTGAAGGTTCAGAGGAGGATGCTGAGGGTCCCGGCGGGACCTGGCACCCACCGGGCACCTCCTCTACCCCCAGGGTCCGCGCTGGCATACTCGGCGTACGTTTTCCCAGCAGAATGGGTCAGCAGCACTTTCCACCACTGCTACGTCCCCGTTGCGGTGTTTAACACCGTGGTTAGCACCAGTCTGTCCTGCTATTCCAGGTAAGCTTCTGCTTTATCTGCCGTGATTGCTACAGCGTAATCATTAATTAGTATTATTAATAAAGGTTTTCAATTACAGGCTGTATCGTAAAAATAAGAGCCTTAAGCTCAGGAAGGGGAAGAAGGGGACTTTTGGTTTGCGAAACGTGTTGCACGTTGGCACTAGAAGAGTTTGATGATCAAAAATGCAAAACAATTGAAGTAGCTTTAATTTTTGAAAATTCAGAAGGTAATTTCGTACGGTGCGTGCCTGGCAGGGAGATACCCACCTCCGGCGCCTTGCTTGGGCTGCTGTTTTTCTAACACAACCTGCAAAAAGGGGTGGGCTCCTGTGCACCCAGCATTCAAGCACGTGTTTAGGTTTAAACATGAGCAGGGTCCTGCCAAAGGCACGTATCAGCCCAAGTGCTGTGTGTGCGCGTGTGTGTGCGTGTGTGTTCATATGTGAGTGCAACACATTTGCAGAGGAGGAACCTCAGCATTCTGGCAGCCGATTGCATCATTTTTAAAGCATGAGCGGCATTGCGTGCGCGGTATTTTGTTCCTGAATGGCATTAGACAATTTGTTTGGAATAACTCAAATGTCTACACTACTCGGCTGGTTTCCAGCGATACATGCCGTGCTAGATCTCTGGCTGGTTTGGTTTTTGTTTAATTCATGGTAGATACCTCCCTGAAGGCTGTGTTTGTAAAGCACTCGTGTCTGTCATTGCGATGACACACAGTTTGCTTTGCAAAATGTACAATTCCTGTTTCCACAAGTAGTGTGAATCATTTGCCATTATCCCTTCCTTGTATTTTGGGGTGTCTTTGACATGTGGCCGCCTGTCGCAGCACCACATAACCCCGGAGGACCCTTCCTCCCCGGCTGCCGTGGCCCGGGCAGCCCCCCCAGACCCCCCCCAGCACGGGGCTGTGTTTCGATGCTCGGCAGGGGGAAAGATGCTCCCACGCCCTGGCAAACTCAGCCGGAAGAAATCACGCTGCCCGGCTGGCTCTGCTGCAGGAGAGGGTCTGCTGCAGGGTGGGATGCAGCTGAGCATCGCCATGTCTTCCCGAGAGGGAGAGTGCTAAGCTCTCGATATTCCTTACGGATCCTGCAAATTTGGCTCGTTTAAGTGTCTTTTGAGTACGGGAGGATTTACTCGCCTTTTGGTCTGTGGGTTACTCACTGGAGTAACTCCCTGGGTTGGAAGATTTGGACCTATCCTTGGTATTACCAAGCAGTACTGCAAACGCGAGGATCTCTCTTGGATCACTCGGTGGATGATGCCAGTTGGGGCTTGGTATTTTTTCCTTATATTCCTCATTTCTTTCTCTTTCTTTTTCTCTCTTTTCCCCCCTCTTATTTTTGTCTTGTGCGTCTCTTTACTGTCTCATTAGATGGGCTTAGCAAATGAAGCTCACTGACCATGGGCTAACCCTAGTACTTACCACTTGAAGATAACACTTAGGAAATATCAGCAACTTGAGTTCCAGATTAATTTGGATTGTTTAAAAAAATTCTTGATCTGCAAATTTAACTGTCAGCATCTCTCTGCTACAAAACTGTAAGTACAGTTACGTGAAAAACATGCAACTATTGCTATATGGTAGAACAGCAATTCCTATTATCTCAGCAATTTCCATTAGAGAAGTAGTATATCCATCAAATGACAGCTTAAAAATAAAAAAAAACCACGAAAGATCCCTGGGTGAGCAGGAATACCATACCAGTGTGGGCCAGCAATGCTGCTGGCTTACCCCCATGGTGGTGAGCGACAAGGGTGACGCGAGGGGGCCCCTGTTTCCCCCCCGCCTCTGCCACGGTGCTCTCCCGGTTTGCCCAAGTGGCTTGTGCCACCCCGGGGTGCCTGAGCCACAGCCGGCGGGTCGGGGACAGGGAGGCGGTGGGGCTGGCCGCCCCCGAGACCCCTGCGAGGCCGCCAGTGTCTGGGCCACCCCGTTTCCTCACCGATGGCATTCGCTTCAGCGTCACCCTCGGCT